TGAATGGTAATTTATAATCAGTCACAAGAACGTCGAATCTGAATCACTTGAAAAAACACGGGGGTGCTTAACTTTTTTCCAGGTGTATATAACTGACTGCATCATAATATGGACAGAATAATTACTTTTGTCCATTTTTAGATTCTGTTATTAACTGAAGATATCAGAATCCCATCAATGTTCTACTAAAATATTTTTTGCTTAAAAATAAAGTTCAAATTTATTGTAAGATCAGGTTTCTGTAAAAGGTTTGTACAAGTTTTGTTAAATGTGTTTTTTACTTAAAAATAAGTGTTTGTTGAGAACAGTGTTCTTTCTAGGGCTGAAGAAATGTTGCATAGATGTGAACAATGTGCAACAAAAAAATTAGTTGATAGATGAAGATTTCTCTCAAGAATGAAATGTTATTTTTACAAAACAATATTGCTTCATATCTATAAATCATGATAAAGCTCTCCTTGAGTTTTTAAAAATGGACAAAAATGTTTCTAAGTTTACTTATTTGAGTATCTTTACCTTGTTAATAAAATATTCAAATCTAAGTTTGTATTGTTGCTTTCACATACACTAATTGATAGGCATTGTGGTGTGATCATTCCCCTTTATAACAATGAATATTGAAACTTACTGTTTGTAGCAGTTCATTTTTGTCAGTTTGTGAAAATGACTTTAAAAAGTAATTGTGATAATATGAAAGGTGAGGAAGGGAAAGAATGTCTGTTTAAACCAATATATTTATTTAATGAAATTCATATTTATCTATAAAGCTTTTTATAATAAAAATATAAGAAATAAATCATTTTGTTAACATTTAATATCATAAATAATCAACATGTTGTATCAGATACTTTGGTGTTTCATGAACTTATGGAATGAACACAATATTTATTTTTTATCTACTCACTACACACAAATAAAAAAATCTATAGTTTCATGTGAAATCATTTAATGATTGTTGTTGTTGTCTTAGCATGAAGCTACACAATAGGCTAATTGTGCTCTGTTTGTCTAGCACAGGGAATATAACCCTGGAGTTTAACATTTCCAGTTCAGAATCTTTCTGCTGAGTCATTGGGGGACACTTATTTAAAGCATTTAGATGATATGCTCTATATCTGGTTTAAAAAATTCTAAAAGCAAATTCATAGCTCTTTTTTTTAAAAATAAAATGGGAAGTTTATCCATGCAATTATTTTTCTAGTAATGTTGAATTTTGATCCTAAAGAAGAGTTGTGTGATGTTATTTAAAATATTTAAATATCTAAGTAACTTCAACACTTTTGGCTTACCCCACATGTGAAATGTATTTTTAATTCAAGTTAACATCATTTTTCAATTTTAAAAGATTTAAATTTATGAAACAACTTGATTGGATTAAGAGTTATTTGCATTGATTAACTGTGCAAACAAAACTAATTATTGAAATGAGTACAATAAATTTAGAATTTTAGATAAACTTTCTTTTCTCTGTTGATTTTAGTGATAGTTTGCTAAAATATTAATTCATATATTTTGAACTAATTTTTGTGGTCATGTTTTTTTCATAAACATTATGAAAACATTCTATCTTGTGGAATAGTTAGGTTATTTAATTATTTTTTGGATTAGGCTGATGTTCTCTAGTCTTGTTATTTGTATACATGTAGCATATAAACATTTACATTGCTGCATGTTTTGATTTTATGATGGTACATTAAGAAACATCCCTCCAAAAAGTCATATTCTAAGATTTAGTTTTAATCCACATGTTTTCTATAATAGTTACATTGTACTAAAAAAAAAGGCTCGGATGTAATGACCTGAGCAAGATAAGATTACAGTCACCTTGTGGTAAATGTTTGTAATATATATATATATATATATATATATGTGTGTGTGTATGTGATTTTAGTTCTACATATTGTGCATCACTTGTCACAGCTGTGCTCTATTGTAGTTTTATGTTACTTGACACATTTAAAGCAAACTCAGCTTCAACTTGAAACTGAATAGATGAAATACAATGTGATAATCATATCATTATGTTCAGATCAACGTTTGTTTTAAGTTAGATCTCTGTGCAAACTTAACATTACATAGTATGTTAAGAAACTGATATAAAAAGACAGTTATTGTGATATGAGTCTTTGGATTAACCTTGTAGTTTATAATGGGCCAACATCTCTCAGTGTTGCTTTAAACTAGTGTAACGTTCATTTATTGTGCACATTTTACAAACTGATGGCAGTGTGATTATAATATTCTCATTAACAACTTTGATGATTCTATGTTTTCCAATGAAAGAGAAGTAGCACTAGTTGTGTTGTTTGTTAAGGTATTTGGTGACTTAAGATGCTATTGAAAACACTAATGAATGGTTACTATGCTTATAAAATGTAAATCTAATGAAAGTGAGATCATAATATTTTATAATGCAGTGATGTATAGTTTATCACAATAAGTTTCTTGTTACACTTAAACTTCCTTTTGCACATGATTTATTCAACTAAATAATGTTGTAAGTGTTTATTTTTCAATACATCCAACAATCTACATGAGCACATTGTTGATTAAAGCAAATTGTACCTAAAAATGTAAACATTTAATGAAATAATGCACTTATTGTTGATAATTATTTTATCCTATAAAGAAAGTAGGATACATATTGAGGTTGAATACATTATATTAAAATGATTTTTGAGACTCACCACATCATTCCAGTCCTTCACATTACCACATCTGGTGATGCTGTATCTGATTACTGTGCATCTTGACAATAGCCCTGCATTGTAGTTCCTTTGAAAAAGGCTCTTTCCTAAGGCTTTCATGTTCAAAGCACACCCCTTCTTCCTGTATGGTTTCCATAATCCAGTGTACAAGGACGAAGTTTCCCATCTCAAATTTCAGCAGTATAATTGCAGAGTTTGTGACAGTTGAACGTTTATGTCATGGAAGCAAATTTTGTATTTGTGACTTGTGTCACTTTTCAGATTGAGATCCTTGTTGATTATGTTGCAAACTGTTACCTTATACAAGTGAATAGCTTTTGCTACTGGCCTTTGTATTCATGGATTCTCAACTGTTACAAAACATCAAACTTTGCCTATCAGGAGTAGAGTATGATTTGTTGCAGGTCTTCTTTTGAATAGTCCATATTTCCCAAGTTGATCCTTATTCTCTTTCTTTCCAATACTGTTAAGCACAGTATATTTCCCCTTTCTGAAATTTTTAAATTTCTGACCTAACATGTCCTTATGGTTTGAGTGTCTGAATGTTACAGGTTATTATATATACTTCCAAAAAAATGATTGATTTTTGAAAGCATTACACTAACTACATAATGTTCTTTATTGTGTTGCGTACTGATATCAGAGGCACATGGACAGCTTTTGTAACTAGCCTTTGTGATTGTGGATCCTCAATTGTTACAAAACATTGCACTGTGCCTACCATGGATAGGGTATGACTTGTTGCAGGTCTCTTTCTGAATGATCCTGATTTCTCAAGTTAATCCATATTCTTTTACTTTTCAATCTTATTGAATACAATTTTTATTTTGGAAATTCTTATTCTGAAGATATATGTATGATTTACGTATATAAATAGTTTGCATCGGAAAGTGCTGTTACATACACTTCCCAAAACTAAATATTTTTTCGATAGCATAACACTACCTACGTTAACACCAAGTAATCTCAAAATATAGTTCTGATACATGCCATACATATATGGGGTTGGTTGTCACAAGACTTACTAGTTTGCTTATTCAAAATCATTTTAATATAACATATTCAGAATTCTGTCTATATCAGTATCTTTACACCTGTGGGGATCTGAGACTGAAAAATTGTTCTTGTTACTGAGAGGGTTACTAATCTAATTGTGCAAAAGCACATCTTTTTATTGTTTTAAGGAGTAAAATAAATATATGTAGACAACGTATCTGCCAAAAGAAATACCTTTTATGTGCAATTTATATCTAAAACACCATTAGATGTTTGAGCTTGTTTTCCAAGAAAGCATATTAGTACTTTGAATACAATGAAGGTTTCATCATGATCAATTTTAACATGAATTACCTGTTTCAGAAAGAAATGTCGTAATTAATGCCAGGAATTTTGCTAAGTTGCTGTAAATTTGTAATGATGACATTGTTAATTTATGTCATGTAAGCATTTAAGGTTTTCATTTATTCTTGCTGTTTCTTTTAACTGTGCACATTTACATGAACACTCTTTCTTTTTCCAAGCATCATCTTCAAAAGAAACTGTACATTGTTCACAAAAAGCAGAGGAATTAGTTGGGAGCAGTTGACTTCCCAATTTCTTTTTTGTTTTTTTTTAGGGGTATAATACACACATGACATTCACAACAATTAAGTCAGACTTTTTTTGCCCTCCCACATTTTGGTCCAGAATCCCACTTGTGGAATTAAGATTACTTCATACATTTTTAATAGTTATGGTGTAGTTAAATTATCAATGAGTATTATTAATAATAATTATATTAATAAAGTGACATATTTGAATTTCATTTATCAGGTGTGTAATGAGCAGCCTGAACAGTTGGTCTTATTAGGTACAGGACTGAATAACATCCAGAAAACTCAGCTTCAGAAGTGTGCTTCCTTGCTCAAAGGATCATTAGCTTCTAATTTTTCTTCAGACGGTAAGCTTGGATTCAGTTTGTTTAATTTTTTTCAGAGTTACATTTAACTATGAAAAGCAGTCTAAATATTTTGTTATTCAAATCATTTAATATAGTTATTGAAAAACTAGCCACGTCCTGCAAAACATTTGTGCTAGTTTTCATACCTGTCATTTGAATTTTCCTTATTATATCCTTTTCATGCACTGCATTTAAGCTATACTTTCTTGCAGGTATTATGTGTTAGATCAATAAATCCTGGTCTATTTGAAAATATTTTATGAGGGTAGACAAACAAACTCACATGGACATAACTTTATTTAATAAAATTACATGTAAAATAAACAATAAAGCACAGTAATGGTATTTATAATAGTTTATAGAGTATAAAACAGTTATGACAGGGTTTTACAAGTTGAAACAAAAGCTTCCAAAAATGAAGAATAAACCCTGTAGTAAAGAAAAAAGTAGCAAAAAAGTGTTTATAGCAGACTATGAAATTAACTGAAGCTAAATTATTGCAAAGAAAAGTAAATGTCAAGTTGAAATGAAGGCAAACTTAGCTGAATATGCAGAAACATCTGAATGCTTATTAACAAAGTGATAAGCATATGGTTTTGAATGAACTGGGCATGCATATTTTAGACCTAAATAAGTTGAGAAAGCCCATAGCAATTGTATTTATTGTAATGTTAATTTCATTTAGGAAATTACATGCAGGTTAGTGTTATTTGTGTGAAATACTTTGCAAATAAAATAAAGTTGAAATCAAAGCCAGTTGTCATGTCATGACAATGACATAGTGCTATCATGTAGCATGCTCATTGCATTAAAAACTATAGGTTATGAAACAGTTATGAGCATTCAGTGTATGACAAGATTTTAAAAGTTGAAACATAGAAACTTTAAAAAACGAAGAAAGAACCCATAAAGAAAAAAGTAGCTAAAAGGAGTCTTGTTTTTCATTCATAAGTTAAATATTTTTGTAAGATAATTGTTTATAACTCATTATTTTAGTGTAAATAGTAAAGCAATGTTGTCTTATTAAAGCAAAATGTATGAACACAGGTTGTGATAACACAAATACCAAATAACAGTATGTCAAATGTATGAAAACAGTTTGGGATAACACTGTTTAACCCTCCAATGGCACTGTAATAAATTTAGAGGCTTATAATGCCAAAAACCAGATTCTGATACCCATAGTGAATACAGCACAGATGGCCCCTTGTGTAGCTTTGTGCTTAACTACAAACACACACCATGTAAAATTTATGAAAACAAGTTGAGATAATACAAACAAAGTAATAGTAAACAAAATGTAAGAAAACAAACCGTGTTAACACAAATACAAAGTAACAGTAAGCAAAATGTATGAAAACAGGTTGTGATAACCCAAACAGAAAGTAATAACAGGTAAAATATATGAAAAGAGCTTATGACAATTAATACAAACACAAAGTAACTGCAAGCAAAAGGTTTGCAAACAAGTTGTGATAACACAAACATGAAGTAACAGCATGAAAAGTGTATTAAAATAGCTAGTAATGGCAGACAGATTTTCTAAAACAAATATTTCCAGTTTGATTAAGTGTTTTGATACATATAGAGATGGTGATATTTCTTTTGGCTGAAATTAGCATGTTACTTGTTGCTGATTTCATTTGTTAATAAAGGTAAGAATGTGATTTTGAAGACTAACAGTTAAAGTCATTTATTGTATGAGTTGAAAGGATGGTTACAGCAAAATGCAACTATGTTTGACAGATTATACAAGTTTCACATTTGAAGGCATATCATAACATAATTTAAAATGTAGAGTAGTCAGAGGATTTACAATACATAGAGTTTAGATTGTATTGAACCATTAGTTGATTAAACCATGCTATTTGTCAATCCCAACAGTATTTCAAGAAGATAGTCCTATAGTCACATACTGAAGTAGAAATATAAAATGGTCATTGAGGATCAATTTGTTTAATAGTATGAAGTAAAACATTGAAGTAACAAGAAGCTTATGACTTATGCAGCTCAGGAGTACACCATTTGTTTTTTGTTATTAATATACCACACATTAACAAATCAAATGGAGCCTCTTCTAAAAAATGAAATGTAAGCTAACAATAACACACGCCACTGGTCAGCTGTCACATAAGGCATACATATGTTATGATTCTAGCTCCTATGACAGAATGCACACACACACATGTAGTTAGGTTTTACTGATTTGGTTTATGTGTGCACTTTTAGAGATGATTGTGTTACTCAAGTATTAAGAAATCAATAAATAGATTCATGTTTTAATAGTGATTAGGGCATTTCTTATAGTCACGTTTAATAAATCGAAACAAACTGTTTGCATTTATTAGTCCATGTGTAAAGACAAAATTGCTGAAATTGACCCTATATTGGAGTGGTGAAGGTTTGGTAAGTTATAAAGTGTATCATTGGGTTGTAATAGTAGAAGTTTTCTTTCAGAAACTAGACTATATAAAATGTAGGTGTTGTAGTGGAACTTGCACTATTATTTTTCATGTATGTAAATGCATTATGGTTAATATAGTTGAAAGTGTGCTGCTGCTTTCTATTAGAAAGTAAAAATACATAGAATCTAGATGACAGTAAAATAATTTTATTTTCAGTCTCTGTACTGTAGTAATTTTATTAAACTCTAGTATTATATCAGATTTAAATAAATGATACAGCAGATTTGCTTTCTAATGCTATTATCCTGTGTTTTAAATCTATGTCATTAAGGATGCATGATTTTTCTAAGCAGAGTGCTTGTAGCATATGTATATGCATGCTTGTTAATCTTAGTGTACTTTTTGTATGTACACACTTTCTTTTTAAATATAGTTTTAACTTCATTTTCTTATTTCATTTTGTTTCTACAGTTAGTCATATTGTTGTAGCCTGCAACAAAAATGGATATTGCCAACGAACTTTAAAATACCTGCACGGAGTCCTGACTGGGAAGTGGATTGTAACATTTCAGTGTGAGTGAAAAACTTTAAAAAAACAAAGCAAAAAACAATTTGCCTTTTTCACAATAGGTTTAAGACAAAACATTTTCTAATTTATCATGGTGAAATTTGTTGCAAAACCACAAAGCAGCTATAAGATAACCATGTCAGAAGATGAAATACTTTCTTTAAATGTGGCTTAGAATTAGGGATTGTGGAAAATATTTGGTAGGCAGTAGCACTGTTGTTGGCATTTTCCAGTCACCAGTTTAAACATTTCTTTGATTGAACTTGTATCTTATGAAAGAAACCTACTGTGTTTGCTTTTCTTCTGTGTTATGTCAAGTATGAATTATTCTACACTAATGCTGAAAGTGCTCAAGACAGAGCTTGGAAAAGGGAGCCATAGCCAGAGGATGCAAAGCATAGCTCATGGAAAGGTGGATTCTATTTACAAAGTTTTGAATTGTCTCTCAACATGTGTTAGTCACTAAATGTACATGTTGTGATATTATGCAGAAGTTATACCTGGATATCATGAACACATTTAAGTGACATGCACCAAAGATTAAGAATTCTTAGCATGCCCATTAACTAGTTGGTGTATTATATCATTGAGAATTACTTTGAGTCAGGGTGTATTTTGAGGGATGGTACATGGAAAACTGTGACCTTCCTAACTCAGAATAGATTGTCTATATCTAAGGTTTCCACTGCTTTGTCAGATTGCCAGCAGCGTCAGTGATTATTATATACCTTCAGGGGCTGTGGTGGCTCCGTTCCAAGAACTTCTTAACTTGTGGTAACCTTAATCACAGTTGTTCAGTTTGCATCTTCCCCACTATTATCCACCTAACTGTAGGGTTTCTGTCTCCCACAATTCACTGGGATTTGGAACTTAGTTCTAGGGTTATGTGAGTCTGGGGGTAGTGAGAGAGTCGGGCTAGTTCTTCAGAGTTTTTATTCCTGTCAATTGTTGGGCTATGCAGACAAGAGATTGGTGACCAGTCATCCATCTTCCTTGTCTCTATCAATGCCTAGATTCTCCAAGGTTTACAAATTAATCATTTCTCAATTTGTGTTGATTTTTTTTTTTACTGGTGCTGTAAATGTCCAACTTGGTTATGGTTGGCTCCTATCTGCACTTTGCCTCAGCAGTGGAGTCCTACCACTAGCACCGTTTTTGGTGCACAATGGTCTGATACTGCAGTTTTGGGTTTTCCCTTCATACTCATGTAGGCTTCTCATGAGTTATGCCGTATCATACAAGTTTTTTTTTTCTCATTCCATCGTACTGTGCACACACCATTTCACAGATGACTGGTTACTGCTGGTACCATCTCGTTAATTGTTAGACCATCACATCCTCATTCTACTTTTAAATACAACTCAGGCAGGATTCCTTTTCAGGAGTGCAACATCTATTCTTGCTCCAATTCAATATGTCATTAGTCTGGGTTTTTTTGGTTTTTTTTCATGTCATCTCTTGGTTGGACTCAGCTGTCACCCATCCTGCTCAACACTATAGAATAGGATGCCACACTCTAACTCACCTCTCCTTTTCCCACTACATGGATGTTTTTTTCTCTTCTGGGAATGTGGGCATCACTCACATCATTCATGTTTTTGGGACGAGAACACAAGTGATCCTTTTATTGATCTTTAAGCAACCAAGGATCACACACATCTATTTACTTGTTTCCCCAGTTTCCTTAGTCAGGACACTTCTATGATTTGGGTTCTTCTACTGCCACCTTGTCCAGAATTTCATTCTCTTTACAAATGCCTTGCTTCAGGGATGGGGTGCATATACAAACAGTCAGGAATTCCAGAGTCTATGCCTGGACAATGAGGATTCCCTACACAATGTTTTCGTCTTTCTTGCTCTTCAACGGGTAAATCTTCATGATCTGGACTTCTTAAGGGGTAAATCGTCAGGCTTCATTCTGACTATTCCATGGTGGTGTCTTATGTTTCTCATCAAGGAGGTATGTGGTCTAGGGCTCCTTATTTTCAAATTTTGGATCTCCTTTCTCGGGACTAGACTTATCTCACCACCCTTCTGGCTTGCCATGTTCCATGGATGATACCTATGGTAGCAGGTCCATTGTCTCATTCCAAACAGGTTCTCCTAACAGAATAGATGTTGCATCACAACGTTCAGTTAGATTGGCTCTCATTTTGTAACTCTAATTGGTGGGTTGGCCTCTCATTGGATCACCCAACTCCTGGCAATTTGGTCTCCAGTACCTCATTTTTGGGCTTTGGCAATAGATGCTTGGCAGGATGGAATTAACACTCTCAACCCTCTCTCCACTTACTATGTTACCCATGGTATGAAATATGATTTGTTCCAACCCATTGTCAGATCCTGTTGATAGCACCAGATTGGCTGCTACACCCGGGCTTCTGCATCTGTGGTCCCTTTCAATGTGTCCAACTCTTCTACTGCTTTTTAGGCTCTTGCTGTGGATGCAGCCATGATCAGATATGGTGCACCCGGTTAAGCAGAAGCTCGAGCTTCTGGCATAGAGGTTATACTGTATTTCACACGGCATTAGGGTTTAATTTCTAAGGTTGACATGTATCTGTCTCAGTTTCTGCTTAGTCCAAAAGGCACTTTTATCAACAGTAATGAAATACATATTGGCAATGTTGTATTGAGAGGATGTTGTGCCCTTTTTTATCAGTGGTGTAAACCAGAGCTCATTTTCTGACTTGGCTCTTTGACAGAGGTTTTTGCATTTTCCCCAATCAGCATTCTTTACAGCAGCCTTATCAACTACCATTTGATTATTGCAACTGCATATTTTTTTAGTCTCCCAGTACTCTCCAGATTCCACACGTCATTTTGGGTAATTGGTCCCAAAAGACCATTCCAGTTACCTACCAGGTAGATTCAGATTATGTGTTCTTTCTCTACACCTGTTTGTGACCTGACTCTTATATGTCATGTATCCCCTTTACCTGCAGGTTTATTCTTCATGGCTGCTGACCTACGAACATCACCGGTTGGAGTGATTTATGCTGTTTGTCCACAGACCACTTTCTCATTCTCTCTTTATGTCCTTTTCTTCGATTCATCTGCTCACTCTTTCTCTCTAGGTCCCATCAAGTCTTGATCTTGTTCATGTTCAGTGAAGGTCTTAAAGGTTTAGTTGCCTGCTTTTATACCTTTAGATATTCTAGACAACACTTTTTATTGTGGGCTCTTTCTGAAGAAGAGGTATCTTCTGTGAGTCACATCTAATCAGGTTTCTCTTTTCTATGCCCTTAGCAGCCCAGTCAAATTGCCCACTGGAGGTCATTGTGCAGACTGGTATCTGAACCTCCTCCAATACCTTTATCTCACATTTTTTGCCTGATCTGGCAGTCTCTTCATCTGAGGATTTTTGCCTACCCCTGTTGCTTTCTTAATCATTTCTGCTAGATTATCAAGAGGGGTGAGTATTTTTCTTTCTACCTTTCAGGGTCTCTTATCTTGTTTTCACAGGATTCCACTTTGTTGTGAGTGTTGCCCAGACAGGTGTGCTTGTATCAAACCAATTCCACGCTAGCAACTATTATTTCACTATAATTACTACTGGTTGCAACATGCTCTGTAGAAATGATGTGTTCCACAAGACCAGCTAGGAGTTCACCAGATGATATTACCAAACTATGCTGGACTGCCACTCATGGACTATCATGAGTAAAGCTAAACGGTATCCTGCCCATTGCTGATGATCATTGGATTGAATAAATTGGGGTCAGTTGGCCTTTAAAAATTTTAGGGAACTTGGTTCACCTATTGCACTGTTTCCAGAGCACTGTTCCTCAGTACTCCCCATTACGCATTACCTCCCAGATTCTACTAGGGGAGCTAGGGAATCCTTACCACAACTACAAATGAAAGTAGCCTATTTCAAATGTTAAGAAAGAAACTAAGTCATTATTCAATAACATATAGTATTAAAGAAATAAAGCCAATGGTTAATGATTCCAAGTAACAATCAGTTGTTTTAGTTTAAGTAAAATAGTAATTACTATTTTCAAATATATTTGTATATATAAAAAAAAAGGTATGTCAGTCAAAATTATAGATTAGGATTTTAGCATATGTTTACTGTAATTGAATATCTTTCTTTGAATATCTTCATTGTTCTAAATCCTTTGTTTAAACTGACATGAAAGAAAAAATCAGCTAAATTTCCTGGAATAAATGACACTAATTTGAAATTACTAAACAATTTGTTATTTTTTTTATACACCTTTGTCAGTATATGGGCTATGTCACTGTTGTTGTGTAGCACAAGTTTTAATGAATTGAGTGATTGATTTAATAGATAAAAGTATAATTTTGAACACCAATATAATTCTAAAAAAATGTATGAAAAACTCTGAAAGCTATATTTTGTTGAGATACACATTATGTTCTTAGTATCAGTTCCTGCTTAGCAAAATGTTTCTTATAAAGAGGGTTGAATACATTATATTGAAACAATTTGGTAAGTTCACCTGTAGCATAGTTTCCATTACAAAAGGCTCTCTCATAAGGTTGTCATATCCAAAGCATTAATCCACCCTAGAAGATTTTCATAATTCATCTGGTGTATGAGGATGACAATTACCAATTTCTGGTTTCAACAATCTAGTCTTACAGAAATCTTTAGGTGCTACACCTGGTGACTTGACTGGTATGGATGAGCATGAATACCATTCTCTAGTTGCTTAACTTCTTAAGGTTTGCAACAATTGAAAATGCTATATGACTGGAAATCTTATCTTGGTGAACCCGTACCCATTTGCCCTCCTTTTCAGACAGAGATCCTTTTTTTGATTATGTTGCATACTGTTACTTGGGATGGCCTTGTGTACATGGATTCTAATCTGTTAAAAGACACTGCGCTTTGCTTAGCATGGTTGGAGTACAACTTGTTGCAGATCTTTCTGGATGGTCTTCTCCAAGTTGATTCATATTCCTTTGTTTTAAATGGCTGTGAAATTCAAGGGATATTCCCATTTTGAAAATTCTAAATCCTTAATCTCATTGTGTCTTTATGATCTGAGTGTATAAATATTTTGTGTTGGAAAGAGCTGTAATATCCTTTCCAAAACTTTCAGTGACATCACACTACTAAGAAACACCAAACAATATGAATATTTAGTTCTGGTACATGTTATTTCACTGTGACTTTATATCAGCTGTATATGTCACATGACTTACATATTTTAATATTGAAAATCATATTAATATAATGTACTCAACCCTTTCTATGTTTATTCTTATTTTAGTTATATTATTGTATTAAAAGATATAAGCATAGATATCAAAATTAATTCTTTAGTAGGTTCTCTGTGTACTGTTTTCATGTACATAGCATAAATGAAATTAAAATAGACAAATTTATACAGGGGTAGAAGTGTGTTTAGAAGACAAACAAAGAGTTGCTGAAGAAGGGTTTGAAGTACCGGGAACAACAAATCAGCCAAATAGCAATGGTGCCACAAGAGGAAGACTTAACAAACAGAAACAAGTATGTTAAATATGATAGGAAACTCTTGAGTATTTTAAATAACAAGCACTTTTTAATTATGCTTGAGCACATATTGAAGAGCTCTATTTTAGTTGGGCCCATTTTATAGTTTTCATTCCAACTTAAATATTTTCTTCTGAACTATACCTTTCATGTTTTACATCCATATATCTTCAAAAATTATAAAACATGTAACACATTTTAAAAAACTACCTTGAACATCTGTATAATTAAAAGAATAATGTGTGTCAATACAAATTCCAACAGATGTTTAAAAATTGACAATTAGGCTTAAAGATGAATAAGTTTTGTCTGTGAAGCACGTGTTTACATGTTATATAATCTACAGCATTTAGCCTTAATAGTCACTACCACAATTTCATTCATCTTTGATGCTCTACAGCTAACACATTGCACACAAAAAAAATAATTACAGGTTTCAGATAATATGCAAATGTGATTTAGACATATACATGACAGAAATTGATTTTTACACTTCTTGGTACCATAATTTTAAAAATTCACTATTTTATAACTATTATATGTTTCCAACTATCTCAATATAGGTGCTTAAAAATCGACAATTAGGCCTAAGTTTAAATATGCTTCGTATGCAAGGAATGCATTTACCTTTTAGAAGAATAAAATATTACATCATTTCTGTTATTGGACCCATTTAAGCCTAAGGTTGCTGATGCTTAGCTAATACTTTAGGGGAGAGTAAAAAAGAGTTGACACCATTATGGAAGGAAAAATTAGTGAAATAATGACAAACAAAAACAGGTAATTTTTACACTTCACTATTTTATGATGTTGCTTTATCAAGCGTTTGATCTAGAAAAGATCTCAAGATCTTAGTCAAAGATGGTGATTTTTCACAAAAACAAGATGTTTATACAAAAAATGTTGAGTACAGAGATATATTTCATTTCTAGTCACTCCATTTTTTTCACATTACCTTACTTTAAATCTAAACACAAGCTACATATTATGCTTAGTATGTTTTTGTTTCATTAATGTCCAACTACATAATACAACAACAGCATTATGTAAAGGATTTATCTGTTTAAAACATATACCCTTCTCATATATATATTTATTGTATTCAACTTAATAATGCTGAATATGTGATAAAATTCTTTGGGCTTTGACTCATATAGCACAGCACACATTTTGTATGTGGGAGGTCAATGATTCAATCCCATCTATATCCTTTTTTTCTTAGATCTTTTTCCTAAACAGTGTTCCAGTAGTCATATATGAAGCACGAGTTTATCCCTTAGTATCTTATTATTAGCAGACAGTATTTGTTTTCTTACTTTTTGTGTAAAAGAAGCCTGTTTTGACTTCTGTGTTAAAGGAAGCTGCAGTGATATGATATGTTGTCACTAATTTTCTTGAATTCTAAACTTGTTGACAGTTTGGAATTTTTTCTTGCCATGTATGCTAAGGCTTTTTTTAGTACAGATGAGGAATGGGCTTTATTTTTGTGTAAAATGTTATGAGGTTTTTATTTTCTTCTTCAGTGCAATATGTTTGAACCTTGGCTCAAAGTGAAAAACTTACCACACATTGTAGTGTACAAAACCAAATGTGATTGAAGTTTTTGAGCCAGATTTCTAAAACCCTAATGCACTTTTTATTACTGGAATTCAGTAATATTATTGAAAGAAAACAACTGGAAGAGAAGCTATTATTGTCAAGCAGTTGAAAACAAATGACAATTAGAATGATCATTATTTCCAACTTTTTTCAATTTTTTAATGCACTGACTAGGCTTTTAGTTTATATATAGTCAACATTTGGAAAAAAAGTGGGTTTCTTCTTATTGATAAAATATATTATTTAACCTTATATTCAATGAAGTTCCTATGTACAGTATCTGACAAAAATACAGTTGTTACATAAAGCTTATATCTAATTCAGTGTAATTTTTTAATTGTTTTTTAAATTATTTAAGGAAATCTTCATTAAAACATAAACATTTTTATCCAGTTTGGTGTTAATGTAATGTAAATAAAATTTCATATTGTACCAGACATTATGTAGAGGCCATTCAAACATTTGTAGGTTATATCATTATATCTGTAGTATTTTTCTTCTTTAATTATAAACACCTAAAAAAAAATTAGTATCATATATTTGGCTTGATATTTATGAAAGAATGAAGCTGATATTTTTTTTACAACATCCCTCTTTCAGACTTGAAATAATAGATCTGTAGAAATAATATTTTAGACATATTTTCTGTTTGCCTCAAATTTATGGGCAAGTGACCTTTCATTTCCTACCAGAACTCATCAACCAGGCTAGACATGTGACAAACAAAATTTATATAAATTGCTAGAGAATAATAAAACTTAACATTAGTTTTAAACAATGTAAAGTATTAAAGCTATGGAAGCTATTTGGCTAACTCAGGAGATAATGACTTCTATCAGCTTTTGGCTTTTAATACCATAAATATAAATAATTTTATGCATACACTTAATCTTAAATGGAAAAAAAAGATGAGAAGTTTTTCATTATTTGGCTTCAGTTCAGTGATTTAGTTTGTACAGTTAAAACTTTCACATTTACAATAGAGCTTCCCAACCACTTCTACATATAGCATATACTGAACTCATTGGAATAACATGAAGATTTTAATGTGGTTTCAGAACAGAAAAGATACATGAAAAATATATTCTATCTTAAAACTCATCTTCTATTAACTGTGTGGTACATCTGGAATAGAATCAAAACTTATGAAAATTTTCATGGTGTGTATATATTTTATTTTTTATTATGGTGTATCAATTATTCATTTTAGCCTAATCATTTTACAGCTGTATCAATTATTCATTTTAGCCTAATAATTTTACAACTGTAAACAGTGTTCTTTACTGGTATAGAAAATGATTCTATGGATTTATTTTTTATTTTCAGATATTAAAGTTGTTTAAAAACTGTCTTTCTTATTACTTCTGTAATAATTGTTCGTGTATGCATTTATTCTACAAGTTTGAAATTGTCTGTTTATACATTAATTAAAAAGAGAAGTGTTTTAACAGTTTATGAACTAGTTACTATGTATAGTATCTTGACATGAGGAAAAAGATTACATGATATGCAAATAATTATAGTATTAGTTAAAGCAGTGGTAATTCAAGGATAAACGTAACACATAGTTCCTGATGCTTGTAATGGCTAGAGATTTAAGGACCTAATATGTAGAAGGACATCTATAGTGATTTGTAGTAGTAGAATGAAAGAGACAAGACAGTGTGGAGCTGAAGCAAAAAATAATATTTGTTGAAGAAAACAGAAGAATGCCGATCATAGAGAAGGAAAGGACTATTACATTGTGATATGTTAAATTGAAAAATAGAGTAAATTGTATTTAAAGACGGATAACATGATTAGCAATATTATAGATAAAATATTAAAACATGAAAAAATACTCCAGCAGCAAGTATTGGCTCCTTCAGGAGAGAAACAAGTTTATTCTATTTAAAGACAGGGAGGAATATGCCTGAAAAGTACCAAACTGCATTCACAGTTTACCCTTTCTTTCTAGCTGAACAGTTAGAAAGTTGAATCACAAGAATCTAAAAGTAATTGCTCCATGTGACAGTGGTAAAGCTATCCTCTATATACAAAGTAAAGTAGAAAGCAATAGACAGTTTTGTGATTGGACTCTGCTACAGAAAATAACACCTTGTGCTGAATTCAGTACATGACCTCAACCAGACTTGGCATGTTCCAAATTAAAACTTATAAAAGTGTGAAAAGATTTGTAGAAATTTTGTCTCTCTCCCTCTATATATATATAAAGAGCTTGCAAACTATTGATTACATTAATTGTTTATAGCCGATTAAATCAGCACTATAAAACAATAATGAATTAAATATCGCAACACCATTATCGATCTTGATTATCAACTTATTGCATTAACAGATAATGTCTGTGGTAATAGCACCCAAATGCATTGGGGATATCCCATCTATCAGACAATATACAATGTTGATGTCAATCTAGTCAGCCGTGGTGAAAGATCATAAAAAAAACCAAAAAAACATCAATCAAATAAGGGTACAGAGCTGAGTGCTTACACCCACAAGATGTCAGCTTCTACTGCCTTTCACTGTCTATAGACAATGGAGTTGTCCAAATTCCATCTGTCAGGTGTTTGAATGTAATAAGCTGTTGTGAGGAACTCTGGTGATCTCCCTGAAGAACAAATTTATATAAATAAGCAATTTGACAAATGATTTCAAGTTTGACAGCCACTACAGTTTTTACTACACAAATTCGATACCAAACTAAATGACATTTGCCGATTGCCTGTATTCAGTAAGTCTGCATGATAATTGCCTTATGAGGTGCGAGTACATTTGCTTCTATACATGGAAGATTAAAATATGTATTATTTGCATAGTACAGAGCTACATCATCTATCACAAATTTTTCACATAATAGTATAGGAACATTTATAACTATTTACTTTATACACTACAGTTTGTTTTGCCCATTGCTACTTGCAGTATTTACAAAAAGGTTTTGTTTGCCAAAAAAAGTTTTATCATCATGTACTGTTCAGTTTCTTTTTCCAGTAGAGCTGTGCCATTTGTCTTTTTGTGTTTTTGAAAATTAACATATTTTGTAATTGGAAAAAAACATTATCATAAAAATTAGTGTTAATGATAAAATCATAGTGGAAGATCTGTTTTGAAATTTAACATTCCAAGCTCAATTTGTAATGAATGTTTTTCAAATCAAATTTCTTGGAAAAATTATTTTTTAGTTACCATCATTGTTTGTTGGCTGCCACTTCTATTTCCATGGCAACTTTGTTAGCCCGTGTCCTCCAAAAGAAGATTTAATTGCTTTAGTAAAGGAGGGAGGTGGTGTAGTGCTTACACGAGAACCACGACCAGAAGTACTGGAAATGGAGAAACCTACTGTACCTTACCATGCTGCACCATCAAGTGACTTATCTAGTGTTTCCTACTTCATTGTCTCTCAGAATACAACTACTGGCTATCGTTACAACCTCAAAAGTCCACTAATTTGTCATGTCTCATGTTTCTGGTTACTAGATTGCATTGGTGCCTTTGAAATCCTTGGAGTAGATGGAATCATTAAAAACCAATAACTTTAATGTTTTAACTATTTTCAAAACTGAAAACATTAGGTTCTATTTTCTAAATCACCCTAAGGAATGTATTTTTATTTCTAATTCATAAAGTTATTTCTTTTCAGCTGAATATATTTTCAATTATTCCTTTCCATATCATTGATGTTGAAAACGTAAACTACTATACTTCAAAAGTTTTTATTCTAGACCTACTATAACAAAATCTAGTTCAAAATAATTGATACTCTCACCAAAATTTGCAAAGCTGGAACTTAGTATTTGAGATATCAATAGTTAATTCATCTGAGAAAAAAAGAAGAAAAAGTGAACTTTAAAACTATAATCTTGATTTCTATACATCATGGAAAAATAATCTTAGTTGTGTAAATATTCAGAAAAAATATTGGGTATAGTTAAATATATATATATATATATATATATATATATATATATTTATTTTACTGTCATTGCTTTGGTCTACTAACTAACTTTTGTCTATTTTCTTGGAAAATTAAATTGGTAGTATCCATCTCAATATTTGTTGGTATTATACAAACATAGTATTCTTACATGCATTAAAAATATGATTTAATTGTGATCTTGAACTTGAAAACCTAAATTTGTAATAGGATTAAACACTATACAATTTTAGATAAAATAAATAATAGTTAAAAGGTACCCATCAATGTGTGAAAGGTCTCTCAAAATCCTCAATTATTTAGGAAATAAAAAGTATTTTTTAAATTTTAATTCCAAGTTATATATATCATTCTAAATGCACATCACAAAGTTTTTATTATTTCTTTGTGCCAAATATTCATTAAATTGCTAATACATATATCTGTATGTGTCCGTGTCTTGCTCCTGTCTAACAGCATTTCTGGGACCATTTATCTTCCAGCAATGGGTAGTTGGTTTTAAAGCTTCAAACCCACAATATAACATAAGTGTTAGATATTATTTATCTATATATTGATAATACACATTACTAAGGTCAAAAGAAATTCCACACAAATACTTACTGTATTTCATAATTTATAAAATTTTAAAGGGACAAAAAGGAGCTTATTAGCGCATCAAGGATGTCCTTTCCAGCTCCCAACTATAATCACCCCTAACTATTTATGTATTCATCCAATATTTTCTTGAATTCAGTTAAATTTTCTTCCTCCACCAACATTGAAGGCAACTTATTCCAAAAACCAAACACCCTGTTTTAAAAATAATACTGTCTAAACTGCAGACGTCTCCAAGCTGCCAAAATATGAATTGATGGCCCCTTGTCGTATTGTTTTCACTGCTAAACACAAAAACGTTTGATGGACCTTTATTATCAGTACTTTTAAAAATCTTAAACACCTCAATCAAATCCCTTCTGACCCTTCTCCTCTCCAGAGAAAACAAGTCTAGATATTTTAGTCCCGTCATCCTATTTGCTCTTCTCTGAACCTTCTCCGAAAATTCAATGTCCTTCTTGAGGAAGGGAGCCCAAAACTCTACACAGTACTCTAAATGAGGACTTAAAAGTGGTATACACAATGAAACAATATTCCTTGTCTGGTATTCATTATTTCTATAGAGATGCTACCCAAAATCCTATTGGCTATATTGCTAGCTACAAGACACTGTTTAGATGACTTAAGTGATTTTTAGATCACAACACTGAGATCTTTTTCTTCAATCACAGTATTTAATGTATTCCCATTTAAATTGCAACAATAATTTGAATTGTGAAAACCTATATGCATCACCTTACATTTTGGATAGTTAAACATCATCTGCCATGTATTGGCCCAATGCATCAAATGATCTAAATCTCCCTGAAAGTTTGCAGCATCTTTGCTACAGTTAGCTACCACAAAAATCTTGATGTCATCTATATACTTCAAAATTTTGTTAGTCATTCCAGAGTCAATATCATTAACATATATTACGAACAGCAGAGGATCCAGCACAGAGCCCTCAGGCACACCACTTGTAACTGTGATCCAGTCAGATCTAACTCCATTTATTACTATTACTCTCCAGCCAATTTTCTATCCAATTTAATAACATTTAACTCGCACCCACAGATTTAATTTTTGTAACAGGTCTTTTTTGAGGCATTTTATCGAAAATCAAGGTAAACCAAATGCACAGTATTTCCTTCATCAACTCTTGCAGTAACATCCTCAAAGAATGTCAGAAGATTTGTTAAACAAGACTTTCCCTTAGTGAAACTGTGCTGGCTCTTTGATACAATATCACACTGCTTTAAGTAACTCTGCTATTCAAATTTGATGATGAGGAACCCATTTTGAGACTAATAATGGCTGGAGATGGCTCGAATGGGTAATGAAGAAAAACTTTAATATAAGTTTTTCTTCATTACCCATTCAAGCCATCTCCAGCCATTATTTAACTCTGCTATTCATCTTTAACCACACTCTCCAAAAACCTTTCCAACTACTGATGTAAGACTAACTGGCCTATAATTGCCTGGACAATGTTTAACACCTCCTTTAAATATTGGACTAAAATTAGCCAACTTCCAATCTTCTAATACTCTTCCACTACTCATTGACATATACAAAATATTAGCTGGCAGTTCACAAATATAATCTTTAAGTTCCTTGAAAACTCTAGGTTAAAAGTTGCCTGGTCCAGTGGATTTGTAAATTTTGAGGTTTCCCAACTTTTCTTTTACAATTTCAGAACTTAAAATGATATATTTTACATCAATATTTCCCCCATACATTAAGCAATCTGATTGAGACATAATACTTGTATCTTCCTTCACAAAAACAGAAGAGAACATATAATTTAATAAGTTTACCATCTCATAATCTTCCAAGATCAGCTCCCTACTATCATTTTTAAGAGGCCCAATTCCCATCTGGACATTTTGCTTACCCATCATATACTTAAAGAATTCCTTATTGTTTGATTGAACTCTCCTGGCCAATCCTCTTTCATATACAGTTTTTGCCCTTTTAACTTCCTTTTTAACCAGCTTTTTGATTTCCTATAGTTCTTATTATTTCCATTGAGTTTAAATTTCTTTAATTTATTATGTTTATACCCAATATGATCTCTTAAACCTTTACTCAACCATACAAGCTTGTTCTGCTCCATTGCCTCTTTTTTTTTTTCTGTAGGGAATATGTATGTTCTATATGCATATTGATTTTTTCCTAAATGCTTCCCACATCTGTTCAAAAAGCCCTCCCAGCTCTTTACTCTAATCTACAGAAGCCAGATCATGTCTCATTCCAT